GGTTTCCTTCCATAAAATTATTTTCGTTGCTACTTCATAATTGTAATGGTGCTACTGTTATGAATTGTAATGTAAATATCTGATATGCAGGATGGTCTTAGGTGACCCCTATGAAAGGGTCGTTCGACCAGCAAAGAGGTCGCAACCCACAGGTTGAGAACCACTGCTATAGATTATAATTTCTGTCTTTGCTGAGTCTAAAGAAATCTCTTAAATTCTTACCTGGTTGAGTGACACTGTTTGAGGTTTTCTGTTTGTTTTTTTTTTAACGAAAGTACTTCTCAAGGTCAGCTTTTTTTAAGTACATGCTGCTGCTATGTTATTCAGGAATTCAATATAGAAGTACGTGTTTAAAGTTGAGCAAAGAATCATTATTCTAGAGAGCAATTTACCAGTTCTTTAGTTAAATGAAACCTATATAAATGAATATGCGCACGTGTGTGTGTCACATAAAAGCTTTTAAAGTAATTCCTATAAAGACTTGAAGTACTTTAAAATTTTAAGCGGCAGCTATTTAAATTTACAATTATATTTATGATATAATCATACTATATTTAAATTTATTAAATATTTGGTTATATGTTTAATTTTGAGGTAAGGCATAAATAATGTTTTTGCTTTGGTTTAGTTTATAAAGAACTGTATCCTTTTCTGGGATTTTTGTTAGTGATAAAGTGATATTTTCTCCCGACTTTGAAGTTGTCGTTTCTGAATACTTAAGTAGTATGATGAATGGTTTCAGATTGAGAATTTATTTTTAATTCTAGAACAGTGGTTCTCAACCTTCCTAATGCTGTGACCCTTTAATACAGTTCCTCATGTTGTGGTGACCCCCAACCATAAAATTATTTTCGTTGCTACTTCATAACTGTAATTGTACTACTGTTATGAATCTTAATGTAAATATCTGTTATGCAGGATGTATTTTCATTGTTATAAATTGAACATATGATAAACGCTGCCCTAGGGGAAGGGAGGGCCTTCAGGGAAGGACAGGAGTGAGAGTTCCAGTTCCACGGCAAAAAGAAGCAGAGAAAGATGGGGGTGTCCAGCAGGGGGGGCGGGCAGCGAGGGGGGCATGGGGCAGTCACAGC